CTTAAACTACATTAAAATTAAAATTAATTAAAAGTAAGAATTTCTGTTCATCAAAGTCACCATTATGTGTGGAAAGGGTAATCCACCAAGTAGAAGATATTTCTAATATATATAACCAGAACTGTATCCAGATTTATAAAGAACTCCTATCAAACAAGAGGGAAAAAGACATGCAACCCAACAGTTAAACAGAGCAAAAGATTTAACTGAGATTTCATAAAAGATATCCAAATGGTCAAATAACATGAAAACTTGCTCCACCTTATTAGGAATCAGAGAAATGAAAATTAAAACTACAGTAAGATACCATTACCCACTCTTCAGAATGCTTTAAAATAAACAAACATATGAAGTATCACAGAGCAATTCCTGATGATGGAACTGTAAACTGGAACAAGCACTTTGGAAAACCATATGGCATTACGTATTAAAATAGAAGATTCATAACCTATGTCCCAGCAGTTGCACTCAACTCTACCAGAAATGCATATGTTCACCAAGAGACAGCATTTATTTATAGCAGCCAAAACTGCAAACAAGTGAAATGTCCATTAACAGCAGAAATTATATATAAATTGGGGGCATATTCATATAATGCAATACTACTCAACAAGGAAAATGAATAACCACAGTCACACTCAACAGCACAGAGAATCTTAGAAACTTAACACTAAGAAAAAGCTGGGGAAAAAAAAAAAGAATACAAACAGTATGAACTTCAAAAAACAGATGAAACTATAGTGTTTAGAGACACATGCTCAGATGGTAAGACTTCTAGGGAAAGAAATTATCATACATTTCAGGATTATGGCCAACTCTTGGGGATAGTGACTGAGAGAGAGCTTTAGGGGGGAACTTATGAGAGTGTTGGCATGGTTTTTAGTTTTTAACTGGAGTGGTGGTTATTTATAGATGTTTGCTTTGCAAAACCCCCCCACATTTTATGCATGTATATATGGATTATATCTCACAACAAACACCTTAATTAAAGAAAAAGAAATTAATCAAATTCTTAGATGTCTTTACACTCCTTGGAAAAAGACTCAATGTAGGGTCCCTAACTGACTGCTAGAACCATTTATACTTGCCTATGTCTAGAATGAACCTGATTCATCTTCTAGAATGCAGAGCTTCCAATGGCTCCCACTCCTTTTAGTTATAGAAACTAAAAAAACTTGTCTAGGAGCTCAAGTTATCCCCAATAACCTACTTATAACTCCTGTTAAGTTATACTATGGCTATCTTTAAAAAATAGTATCTTTTAAATGTAAGCTCATCCAAGAACAAGAGAACTACTAGACAACCAAACTATATGCTCCCTTACTTATTCAACTGAGTGTTTTGGTGTGTTGCAAGTAACTGTCTAGTTAAGGTAGGCCTCCATAGTCCTTTCCCGACCAACCTGACACAGAATAGTAGACAAACTTTCTACAGTCTTTTCCCCAACCTTCCCCTAAGAAGAGTGGGAAAAGAGTCATTTCTGTAATATGAACAACTTTGGCTGACTAACAATAGTTCTGCAGCTGAAATACTGGGGCACAATAGAAGTGGAAGCTGTTATCTATTATGTGTGTATGAAAAGATCTCTTAGACCTGAACTGTCTTCTAAGCACAGCAATTAGGAATTTATCTCTTTCCTCTAAGGCAACCTTGTTACTTAATCTTTAGGCAATAGAGCAATGGAAAGTATTACGTATAAGAGCTTTGGAATCAAAATTACTTCTTATTCTTCTTGTACGCCTTATTAGTACTGAAATTTGGGGCCAATTAATGAACTAGTTGAGACTCTAGCAAGTACTTAAAAAATACTAGTTCTAACTATCCCTGCCTTAGGTACCTGAAAGCCAGGTAGTAAGTAGAGGTAACAGATGCCTATAGGTTATGAGAATGACCAATGAGCATACAATGAAAAGAACATTCCTGTTTCTTGACCAAAGTGAGAAAACAAAATTATGTACTCCTATAGTTATGAGCTTTAAAAAACAAAACTCTGCGTGTATTTTCAACTCATGAACATTATGGAGCTTGCCTTCCAACATCTTAAAATTCTGTTTATTGTTCTGGTAGAATAGTGAAAGAAAGAAAGAAAGAAAGAAAGAAAAGAAAGAAAACTAGGAAAAGAAAAAGGAAGAAGAAAGAAAGAAAGAAAGAAAGAAAGAAAGAAAGAAAGAAAGAAAGAAAGAAAAAGAAAGAAAGAAAGAAAAGAAAGAAAGAAAGAAAGAAAGAAAGGGAAAGAAAAGAAAAAGAGAAAGAAAGGAAGGAAGAAAAAGAATACAAAGCTAACCTTTTCCTTGGGCTTTATCTTCATTTGTTTATAAGAAAGTTAGATTAGGAAATGGATTAAGGCTTTTAAGTATACCTTTTGTTATTCAATCTCATAATCTATCAAAGGAATGGATCAAGAAGAGCCAACCACTCACATCAGTTAGGACTGGAATGGTAAGTTTAAGATACTTCTTGACCCGTACCCCCTACGGTGATAAGTCTTCTGTTGAGAAGCAGAATCCTCAGTGTCTGTTCCTCTTGGGAAATATTTCATCTTTCTATATTCTATATACCAAATCTTAGTAGCCTTGCCAAACAGGAATGGCAGTAGCCAAAGCACCAACTACAGAAAACATGGGCTAAGAGGATTACTGTGATTTCTAATCATAACCTATTATTATTAGTGGTAACCCAGGAAATGCACTGGGAGGAACTGCACATGCATGGTGCTGTGGAAGGAACTCTGAAAGCAGAAAGGCTGGTTACTACTGAATCTCGGATTCCTGCTCTAGTAAGTGAATTTTGAGCAAATTATTTAATTTCTATGAGCCTCATTTTCCTTATCTTTAAAAAACAAGGAAGGTAAGTCCAAAGTTTCTAGCAAATTTTTTATGAGTTTTGGCAATTTTTATGGACTTATCATCAATTAATCAACAATTTTGCATGTATCTATTCAAAAAGGGTCTTATAGTATGCTGCTTGGGGATAAATAATACACTATAGATAGCATCTTGACATTAGACATACTCTAGGGGTCTTGGTGAGGTTTCACTGTGGCTGAGGTAATCAACTGGTACCACCTACCCCTCAACATTGTTCCTGTCTAAAATTACCTTTGCCAGAGAACTCTGAGGTCTTAACCAAGGTCTCAACCAAGCTCTTGTCCAAGCATTTCAGCAAACTCAAAGAGGATGAGCAAGTCACATCCCAGTCCACAAGCTCTTTCACAGCTAAGTCCATGTAGACAGGGACTGACAGCCTCCCCCGACAAACACACAAATCAAGCTCCAGAATTTTCAAAATGAATTATCACTTGCAACCTAGATGTTTAGTTCATAAAGGACATGGATCCTTCTTCAGTTAATAAAAGGAGAATTTTTCAGAAATTCAGTCCTGATTTGCCTGTTATCCAGATCCTGCAAACCACCTAAAGGAAGATATTTAAAATAGTCATTCTTGGGCGCCTGGGTGGCTCAGTTGGTTAAGCGACTGCCTTCGGCTCAGGTCATGATCCTGGAGTCC